TGTCTCATATGATGTATTTACTTATTTTAAAAAAAAAGAGTAGGAATGAGATGTCCCTGAGCTGTACTTTTCTATTATTATAAGGCCTTTAGGCATCAGTGCATCTGGGTTATCAACATTTTCTCAAATGCTGTCAATATTTTACTGTAATTTATGTTCTTATATTTATGTATATTTGTTAAAACTGTAAAAAAATTTCACAGATTTTTTTCCAATACCTGTGCAAGATACATGTGTAGCTCAAAACTATTTGTGATCTACTGTTTGCATGTAAGAGACCAGGATATGTAACTCTTATATTTTAAGTGTATACATATTGTGTATATAACATATGGATATTAAAAATGGGGAATTGCACATTTTACCTTTTAGACAATAATTTCTATCACAGTTAGAAGGAAGTGATTGTCAAATACACATTTAGATTAAAACTAAAAAATTATAAATGAATCTAATCAAAATGTGAATAGTAGTCAAAAGGATAATTTAATAAGCATTTTACATTACTAAATTTGTTCATTTCAATATTAACTAAATTTCCCTCATCAAAGCAATCTTTGTGATATTACTTAGCTATTATATAAAGAAAATTGGATGCAAGACAATGGAGAAACTACTTAAAACTAAACAGGACCACCCTTTATTCTTAAATTTGTGTGTGTCCAACAGTTGAATTGAATGTCTATAAGGTCTAAAGGTAGAATGTGAGTATTGCCACAGAGTTCATTGCTCTCAGTATAAGATTTTACTTTATTAATGCAGAAGGAATATGGATATATTTCTTTAAGTCTGCAGATTTTTTTATTATGGTGCAGCTTTTTTTTTTGAATTATGTTTTTAAAATTATACAGTTGAAAAATATGCCATTTCATAAAGTCTGGGGATTTTCATCAACCTTACTGAAACACATTGGTGCTTTCATCATCAGAGGTCAAATTATTATGATAACTATTCCATTAAGTTTGCCAAACATTTGTTGTGATTACCAGTGCAGCCTGTCAAATTCTGCTATTTGACACAGCTTTGGAAAGCTTTTAGTTCTTCTTGGTTTTTCCATTTTGTATTAGAGTGACTGTTACAGTTTTATTTGGCTGTTTAAAGCCAAATTCAGCTATTTAATTATGGTTTCATAGACACTGTTGAGCAATGTACAGTGTATGGTGTGCTTACCTGTCCACTCTAGAGCATTGCTTACAGGTTTTTTGTTTTTTCAGATGCTGTGCTGTAAAATACTGTCATATTTGCTATTTCCTGGTACAGTGTAGTTTTTCCCCTTTCATTTGAATAAAAGCATGGCACCAAATGACTCCTTTTCTGTTTCTTGAATAAAATGTGGTTTTTGGTAAAATTATTTGAACTTGAGAGAACTCATTATATAGTTTTTCTATCCCCTAACCTATGTTTAATTTAATAACTTGAATATTCATAACAGGCAACTTGAAATAATTAGACTTTTAAAAATACTAACTTAAGGCAATGTTAAAAAGTCTGTAACTTTCTATGCTTAGCTCAGACGGTCTACATAGTATGATTTATAAATGTGCTTATCTTACATTAATCTTACTCATACTAATTCACTATCTTAAGGTGAATTGTACCAGAATTAGTGCTCTATGTCTTTGAAACTGAATGGCCAGTGAACTCACTGATCTAGAGTAGCCATGAGAAGCTAGTTTTTGACCATTATTTTATAAGTTTCACTTTGATTTTGCTGATTCTGCTTACTCAAAGAAAAAAGTGTTTTTAAGAAAAAAAAGATCTGATAACAAAACTATAAATCTTCTTGCATAATTATACACCTGAAGAAATATGTGGTTAGTAGACATAAATGTGGTTCTCTACCTTGGGACCTTTTTGATAGGTTCTGTATCTTCAGAACACAGCTATCCTTTCACAATATTTACTAGTACTTTAATTTTCAGAAATAAAAATATTTAACCCTAAGACCCAGGCAACATTAGAAAAATGTACACAATGCCAGGTACAATGGCTCATGCCTGTAATCCCAGCACTTTGGGAGGCCAAGGTGGGTAGATCACTTGAGGTCAGGAGTTTTGAGACCAGCCTGGCCAACATGGCGAAACCCTGTCTCTACCAAAAAAAAAAAAAAAAAAAACCAGGCATGGTGGCAGATGCCTGTAATCCTAGCTACTCGGGAAGCTGAGGCAGAATTGCTTGAACCCAGGAGGCGGAGGTTGCTGTGAGCCAAGATCGCACCTGTGCACTCTAGCCTGGATGACAGAGCAAGACTCTATCTTGGAAAAAAAAAAAAAAAAGTGTACACAAACCCTAGAGCCCCCCCACACAATAAGAATGTGTTGCCTTATGACTGAAATTGATACTTCTTAACTAGGGCAGAGGAAAATGTTCTATATTGAATAGGAACAAACGCCTTTATTTCATGATCTGTCTATACAGAAAGATGATAATAAAATTCAGCAAAGGAAATGTAGTTGTAATGTTAAGACCTAGGAATTGGCTATTGGAAAAACACATCTATAAAATGAGTATGAAATTCTGTTGTCCCTCAGAAGTATATAGATGCTTAAGAAACATATCTTAAAAGACACAAATGAGATATTAATGATTTTGCCTGATTTGATGGGGGTAGGGAAGTACACAGAAGGCATGTCAGAGTTGCTCTTCAAATAAGGAGATCTAGAATCTAGTTTCAGTCACCTCCTTTTTGCCCCTGTGGGCATATAGGTCTAGCAACTCATGGCCACATGCTTAGACAACAAAGATTAGTTTTGTACATGTGTTTAAATCACTGTGGTGATTTGTGTCACAACAACAGCTAAAAGCAGATGACTTCATAACTGAAGTTATCTCCACCTACAGTGGCTTATTTATGTCAGGAAAATGGGGGCAATTATTATTTTCCATTGAAGAGGTGAAAAGCAAATTAAGAAATGTTTGAAGACTCACTAAGATTTTTTTCTTAACACATTAAGCAAAGCCTCTATGGTACCTTAGGCTACTAATTCATTTGATTCTTCTTAACCCCAACCTGTTGCTTTAGGTGGTTGAACCTGTGATTCAGCCTTCAGTAGGTGTTAGAGGCATCCCAGAGATAAAGGACACAGGTGGCATGTGTTACCTACAGCACCTCTACTTCACAGTTACATTCAGCTGCTGTGATTCCTGGCTGACCCTGTTATTCATACTTCAGGGTTTGTGTGTTTATATAGAAAAGGAAATGTGGCTCTCAACCCCCAAAGAAACCATCCACTTAAATACTGCTTTATAGGCCAGGCACGGTGGCTCATGCCTGTAGCTGTCCCAGGGACTCAAAGCTAGTAAGTGACAGCATTACAACTGGCATCTAAGCCTTCTGGTTTCAAATCCCCTTACCGTGCCATATGGTACAGAGTTTCCCACTGCGTTGTACATGTTGTGGAATAAGAATAAGGCTCACAGCTGTACTAGTTAATAATGTATTCACCATTGGTAGAAAACTCAGAACTTGTGGTTAAAGTGGATTTTGTTCTCTTGCCCAAGACTTAACCATCATCAACATAACAACAGCTAAAATCAGACTGTTACGCTTACCTACTGTTTAATATCTAGATTCATAAGGATGAGAGAATGGAGAAATTGCAAAAGTGGTGAAAACAAATTCTGATAACAGGTTGATCAGAATTATCTAGGAAACAGTTATTAGATGAAAGGAGCTAGGTAGGTCACAAAGGTAAGATCTTGCCGGGCGCGGTGGCTCACGCCTGTAATCCCAGCACTTTGGGAGGCTGAGGCGGGCGGATTACGAGGTCGGGAGATCAAGACCATCCTGGCTAACACGGTGAAAACCCATCTCTACTAAAAATACAAAAACTTAGCCGGGCATGGTGGCGGGCGCCTGTAGTCCCAGCTACTCAGGAGGCTGAGACAGGAGAATGGCGTGAACCTGGAAGGTGGAGCTTGCAGTGAGCTGAGATCACGCCACTGCACTCCAGCCTGGGCGACAGCGAGACTCCGTCTCTAAATAAATAAATAAATAAATAGTGAATTTTGAATTGCAGAGACATCAGTTCTGTTGATAGGGCCTTGAGGTCCTCATTTATGATGAGAACAAAGCTAACTGTAAACTGCATCCTCTTAGCCAGAGGCTAAGTACAAATATTTTTGTATACAGTAGGAAATGAGTTTGTGCTTGGATTCTTTATCCTTATAGTCTCAACACAATCAGTATTCAATAAATATCCATCAAATGAATACATGAAAGGAAGACTATGCAGTCCTGGCTCAAAATTCAAAATCAAATTCAAAACGTGTTCTGATTTCTGCTAGGTCACCCCTAATTTCTTACTATAGATATTTTTGCCCCCAAAATATAAACCCAAAGTTGGCTTTTCTGCTCTAACTCCCTCTGGTTCATGCCATTTCAAAGGACCCAGATGCAGCTTGAAAATCTGAACGATTGGTCACCATGACACAATGATGTGCTGTTCCCTTTTACCTCTCTCCAGCTCCTCTCACAAATTATGGGCCAGTCTCAAGGCTCAGTTATTCATGTTCTGCTGCCTCCACTCTTTCCAAGAAGGCCTTCCATATCAGCTTTGACTGACACCTCCATTCAGAATCTACATCTCCAGCCCTGAAAGCCCCCTCTGGGCCCACTCATGCATCTAACTGCCATCTCAACATTTCACGTGGGAGTTCCAATGTCATCCTCAACTCAATCTGTTGAAAAACCAAAAGTCAACCTGATACTACAACTTCCTTATAAAATCAACTCTGCTTCCTGACAGCCAGCCACCAAGACTGAAAGGTCATATCCCTTCCTCTCTTGTTAACACAGAAGATAGCCTCGTGCCCAGACAGCCACCAAATGCTATCAAATATTTATACTTTGAAACTGCTCCTCATCCCTGCTGCCACCAGCTTCAAGTCCAGCCACCAAAAGCTTATGCCTAACTCTGCAAGAACCTTCAAGTGATCTTTCCCTAATTCGATTCCACCCTCCAAAGTGTCTTGCAAAATCTAACTTTCTGAGACTTATCTTAAAAGTTCAACATTGTTTTTATTTTGAATTGCAGGGAGGATGGGGGTGGGGTGTTGAGGTGGTGGTAATCTGTTCAGTGCTTGGAACCACTAACGGTATTGATCCTGTTTTTCAGGCTGCTCCTAGACACAGACCTTTTCTTCAGAAAAGCTGACCTGCTTCAATCTTGATAGAAGTCAGGATATCACAATCTGCCTTATATCAAAGTTATTTGTACTTTATAGCTAATCTCCAATAATGTGTAAGCTTCCTGTAAGGGTGCACCATGTCACATTCTTTGTATCTGTTACATTACCCAATAACAGTGCTTGCCCCACAGTAAGAAGGGGCTATTTACAAAGTCGACTGGAATCAAAAGTGATACTAAGAATTGGTTTTGGCCCGGGCGTAGTGGCTCACACCTATAATCCCAGCACTTTGGGAGGCCAAGGCAGACAGATCACTTGAGGTCAGGAGTTCAAGACCAGTCTGGCCAGCATGGTGAAGCCTTGTCTCTAAAATACTAAAAATACAAAAGCTAGCTGGGCGTGGTGGTGCATGCCTGGAGTCCCAGCTTCTCAGGAGGCTGACGCAGGAGAATCACTCGAACCCAGGAGGTAAAGGCTGCAATGAGCTGAGATTGCACCCACTGCACTCTAGCCTGAGTGACAGAGCAGGACTCCATCTCAAAAAAAAAAAAAGAATTGGTTTCATTGATCAGTAGCAGGATCACAGCACTGTAGAGGGAGCCTCTACCAATGCCAAGGGAATGCTGCCAAATTCCTGTTGCAAATACGTGGAAATTTACACTAACTCTGTGAAATCACTGAAAAGTAATGGCAAATCATAGGTTCGAAGCTCCTGTGGGCAGAATAATTGCTACAAAGAGAAAATGTTACTTCCTTTCCAAACAAATTCTGGGGCCATTTTTGTATTGGGGATGTCCCTATTGCTTGTCTTTTAAGTTTCTGATATTTTATTTTTACCTTTGAAAGAACGCTTGAGCTACAAAAACCTGCAGTGGAAGAAAAGAGTCTCACTTTCCTTGAAAGCTACACTCTTCTCATCCAGCCTCCCCTCCCTTCCCTGACCCCCTCCCGCATGTCCCCTAAGAGGCATCAATGACATCCGGGGTAGATGGGGGGCCCTGGGACAATCACACAGCTGCAGGCCACAAGGCTTTCACATTGAGTCATCTCCTTAGCAGTGTGGGCTGAAGCCAAGTCTCATGTCTAACTCAGATGGTGCCCTTTCCCAGCTACCCCATATTTAGTACCTGAAAGTTTCTGAAGTAAATGAACATCTGAAACGTTCTGCAGGGCCTCTGGCATCCAGGGTGGGGCTCCTCATCTGGTGTGTGCCAGCCGTTCCTTAGATGTTGAGGGTGCAGGGTAGGGGCAAGAGCTATTGCTGTCTTCTGTCCTCTAATGCCCTGTCCCTACCACCCTCCCTGCCACCACACACACACACACACACACACACACACACACGGTCTCAGGGCTATGTGGTCTATGGGAAACCTCATCTAGGTAGCCAGTCAGTAATAGTGAATAAAATAGAGGACTCCCCACTCCCAGTTCAATGCTTATCAAGAGAGGTTGTAAAAACCAGGAGATGTAGCTTTGCAAGATTTTCCTAACCCTCAGGACTCAAGTTACTGTTAACCTCTCCATCAACCGCAACTGACTTGGCAAAAGGCCCCCTGTCTCTCTGTGCTTCAGTCCTGTCAGCAGTTTCTCAGCAGCATCCAGACTGTCACCTTGTAGAAATCACCATTAGGATGATACCAGGCACCAGGCACTGTGGTGGTCAAATCTTGAAGAATCAAATCTTGGGAGTCTCTTTATAGAATCCCAATCCAATCCCCAAAAGATTTACTGACCACCCACTATGTGGAAAGAAAGCACCGTGACCTGGAGGGTAGGAGAAGCAGCGCAAGCAGCTGAGTCTAGCAGCAGGACCACCAGAAACTAAAGCCGTTCTTCACGATGCTGCCAGCCAGGGAACGAAGTGAGCCCATTAGCTCAGACCCAGCATGGGCAGCACCTTCCACAAAGGGTGCCTCATTTGGTCTTCACAACACCCCTATCAAGTAGATATTATCATGCCTATTTTAAGATGTGGAAACTGGAGCCCAAGCTCACATAGCTATCAAGTTATAAAGTGGACATTTAAACTGGACTCTGACCACTAATAATCTGATCTGGGTGTTCACTAATCAGAAACAGACAAAATGACATATAAGAAATTGATATTGGCTGGGCACAGTGACTCACAGTTGTAATCCCAGCACTTCGGGAGGCCAAGGTAGGAGGATCACTTGAAGCCAGGAATTTGAGACCATCCTGGGAAATATAGTGAGACTGTGTCTCTAAAAAAAGTAAAAAATAAAATTAGCCAGGCATGGTGGTGTGTACCTGTAGTCCCAGCTTCTCAGGAGGCTGATGCAGGAGGATTGCCTGAGCTGAGGAATTTGAGGCTGCAGTGAGCTATGATCACACTGGGCTACACTGCAGCCTGGGCAACAGAGCAAGCCCCTGTCTGCAAAAAATAAAGAATAAAAAATAAAAATAAAAAGAAGAAGAAATACATATAATTTTAAAAAAAGAAGAAATGCATCTAATTCTATATCATGACACAGAGCAAGGTTTTAAAAAATATATATTTTAAATTTAATAAATGATGTTAAGAAAGCTGGATAGATATATGAAAAAATCGATTAAACACTAGGTAAATTTTAAAATACTAACGAAAATTATTTTTAATGACAGACTGAATCTTCTTACATTGTCAAAGAGAAAGTAACATTCTAAACTCTGAAATTGCTAATAGCAACAAATTTGACTATGAAAATGTAAAACTAAAATAAATAATAGCTAAGAAAAGAATTTGGAAAAATATTTGAATCAAGTGGAATGAAACATGATTCATCCTAAATATATAGTTTGTACAAATTAATAAGAAATACATAGATTATAATAAATATATGAAGGACATGATTAAAATGGTTCACTTAAGAGGAAATAAATAGATTTTCCATCTTATTTATAAACAAGTGCAAATTGAAATGAGGTACCATTTTACTTCACTGCCTGTTACAATGGAAAATATATGTTATGATGAACATCTCTAAGAAGACTGTGTTGAACCTTATACTCTCATACAATGCCAGTGACATTCTAAACTACTAATCACTGTAAGCATTTGTATCAAGCAATAAAAATTTTCATAGCCTTTGCTACAAAATTTGTATTTATAACATATATATGTTACATGACAGTCCATAGCATGTTATAAATACATATAAAAATAAATATGTATAAATGCATATTTACATGTATTTATAACATAAATACAAGAGTATGTTATAACATAATACAATACATAAAATTTATATTATGTATTATTACATAATACATAAATAATACATAACAAATAATACATAATATTTATAACATAAATACAAGAGTATGTTATAAAAACAGTATAAATCATAAGTGCAATTATTCATTACAAATTTCTATAACAGTTAAAAATATTAGAAACATCCTAAATATCCATATTTAAGGGTTTAGAAAATTAAGCAGCATAGACTCACGTGGATTTATATGATATTGAGAATACTGTGTACAGTCTAATTACAGATATGACTTTGAAACAACTGTGTAAAAAATGTGAAGGATATCTAAAATGGAATATTTAAAAATAGAAAATCTAAAAATAATAAGATTACAAATGAATACTTTTGAAAATATCCTTCACTGGCTAAGTTTGGTTGTGTAGCAGGTCCAAGATGACTACTTCTCTATTCTGTAATGTGATTAGATGGCTTTTATGATTAAAAATAAAAAGGCAAATACAATTTACTTAAAATGTTAAGATTCTTTGTACAGAAAAATTAAAATTGGAAAAAATAAGTTACAAGAACTTAAATATAACCTGTAAGGGGGGCAAAAAGAAATCTACTCTCGAAAACAATTTAGCCTGAAGCATTGGATATTTATTTAAAGTATCTCCTCTGTTCTCAGGCTTGTGCTAATCACCCTGATGGGTAGAGAGAAGCTCCTCCTCGCCCTGAGAATTTCATAATCCCATGGGCAAGGCAAGACGGAGCCACGTAACAGTCGCCCTGGTGGCTCCAGCAGTGCAGAGAGAGGAAGTCCTATTAGGGATGGAGGTCAGAGAAGGCTCCCAGGGGTGGGATGTGTACACAGCCTGTAAGGGTGTGTTTCTATTAGTTGACTTGTGTGTGATCCTGTGGGGAGTCCTCCTGAAGGGTGAAAGAGCAGTCTCGTGCAGTTGGCCTTGGTCACTGAAACCGGGCTGGGCACCCCGGGAGGCCAGGCCCAAGGCAGTGTCCCTGGCTCTGACCTTTGCTGCTGCTTCCCATCCAGACAAGTTCAGTAAGGCCCACGGACAGCACCCAGGCCTCAGCAGAGAAAATTCAGCATATGCTGTGGGCCACAGACTTCCCTTGGGTGTGAGATGATGGCCCAGGAAGCAAGTAGCTCTGTGTTTTTTTAAATGAACAACCTACTTCTACTTCCCTTCAACCCCCTTCCTATACTTCCCTCTTGGTCTGCTTGCCCCATTCTTTGTTTTCACCTGGCGGCTTTTCTGCTGTTCATCTCTAGCTTTCAGGATCACTCACACTCTCTGAGCCCCAGACTGACGTGCGCCCAAGGGGGTAAAGTCCAGCAATACCGGGTCTGTCTCTGATGGTCTCTGGGCTCTGGCAGGCAAGCACTGCCCCTGCTAGCCTTCTAGGGGAGGAGGCTGCAGCCCCCTACTCCACCCCGGATGTGGGCACCACTCACCAGCAACCACATGCTCAGACATTAGAAAAAAGGCTCTGGGGTGGGTCTTCAGGGGAAAACCAAGCCCAGAGGCCGAAATGCCTTTGAAGGGAAGGTCCAGACCATTCATTCCCTAGCCTCTTCTCTTCCCTGTGCATCTTGTAATTGGTGTGGGAAAAATTCTTGACAGGTGCAGCCTGAACACTGCATACCCAACTCTCTGTGAGCTCTAGGACCATTTTCTTTTGAGATGGAGACTCACTCTTTCACCCAGGTGGGAGTGCAGTGGCTTGGATCTCAGCTCACTGCAACCTCTGCCTCCCGGGTTCAAGCGATTCTCCCACCTCAGCCTCCTGAGTAGCTGGGACTGGTGTGTGCCACCATGCCTGGCTAATTTTTGTAGTTTTAGTAGAGACGGGGTTTCACCATGATGGCCAGGCTGGTCTCGATCTCCTGACCACAAGTGATCTCCCCGCCTTGGCCTCCCAAATTGCTGGGATTACAGATGTGAGCCACTGCGCCCGGCCTCTAAGACCATTTTCCAAATCCTTCCTGGGGATCTCCGTGTGCTAGAGGGACCCCAAGTGAGGGTGACCTTATGTCCCAGTTTGCCCAAAATAGTCCTGGTTTATGGCCCAGGTTAATTCTCATAGTGCCCCTTTCACTCTCAGAAACATCCTGATTTAGATGATAAATTATTTCATGACTACCTCAAACCAACATCAAACTGAACACATACGCACATGCGCCTCACTGTTCTTGGCAGTTAAGGGGACAGTGTCCATATGGTCCCTAAGCGGAGAAACCCCAGGCTTATCTTTGACTCTTCTTTGTGAGACCTATGATGCTACAATTACCTCCTGAATACATCCTCTCCTTTCTGTTCCCACTGCTCATGATCTATTTCAGACACAAATAATTACAACCTACGGTGGGGTCTCCCTGGCTTGAGTCTCTCCCTTCTCCACAGTTCTGCCAGTGATCTTTTCAAAACACAGATTAATGCCTCCTGACTCCCCATGACCTATAGATTGAAATCCAAATCCCTTAATGATTCCTCCTGCTTCATCTCCTGTCCCCACTTTCCTACCCTAGGCTCTGGGAGACTGCTTGTCCCCTGAAAAGCCCACATTCCTACTCATTTCAGTATACTTGTTCCCTTCACTCCCTCCTCCGAGTCTGACCCTTTCTTCTCTTTTCTGCTGCTCTTATTTGACTTTCAGCTCATTCCTGGGACTGATCTCAAGTGTCATCTCCTAGAAGGCCTTTTCTGATTTAGCTTTCCCGTCAAAAATAATCACTCCCCCTCCACTAAACCCTAAGAGGGCTTGGCTTTTAACATTTACTACAATTTGGACTCCCGGCATGTCGGCCATTGCACATTCTGCTTATGTAACCATCTCTCCTGCCTATGCAATAAACTGCTAAGGCCAAGAATGGCATCTCTCGCAGTGCCTGAAACAGTGCCTGCTTCATGGAGGAGTTCATTGTTAACAAGTCTGAATCGAACAAAATTGATAATCCACCTCAAATTTTCCACACCAGGTTGCCCGGCACATCAGCCACTCATTCCTGGGGACACTGGGGACAGACTCAGAGGGCACTGTGACATCAGTTCCACCACAATATCTTGTGGAAGGGATATCTGCTAAGAAGAATTCAGATGTAATTGGCTGCATGCCTCCTTCAGGAGGAAGAGCAAGCATTCCCTCCCCCATCCTCTCCTCCTAAGGGCCCACCGCCCACTCAGGGTCAGACTTCATTCCCCCTCTTCTTTAGGTATCCTCCCCTTACTCTCAGTTTCTCATTTCACAAAGGATCTTGCTGCCTCCAAGCTCCTGACTCATAATTTAGGACAACTAATCTGGTGTTTCATTAGGTGTCATCTTTTGAACTGAGCTTACATCTGCGTCTGGCTT